ACTACCCTAACGTTTTTTATTATATATATATCAGAGACAGAAAAAAAAGGAAGAGAAAAAAGAAAAAAAAAATGAAATTCTACTGAGAATGAAAAAAAAAAAAAAAAATAGCTAAAAGGGGTAAATGTCCTTTGTATCTTCCGCTTTAACCTGGTATCCCAGGAGCAAGTCCCAGGACGAGGTGAACGATCGACAGGGTGGTGGTACGTGACCTTTTGCAGGAAGGATAACGGAAGGGGAGTGGTGGAGTTGGTGGGGTTGATTCTTGGGGGTGAATGCACGTAGGTATTTTGCTATATATATATATATATATATATATATTCACAGAGAGAGAAATAAGGGGAGGGAGGTAGTGCTGATAAGGCTGCCAGGCGACTAATTGATAACCGATAACTATATGAGGCACCTCTTTAGGGAAAATGACGACGAACGTGAACCTATGTGTGTGAATTGAAATGTTGAAAAGACGAACTAGAAACTAAAGAGTAAAATCGTCGAAGCCTGTTTGTAGGCAACCAGCCTATCAAATGTGCACGCCGGGAATCGATGCAGATGAGGTTTGCGCTCGGCTTCACTCTCTTCAAACCCCCCCCCCCACCCCACCCCTCTCTCTATCTCGCTATACTGTTGGGGAAATATTCACATTCAGCCTGCGTATACACTTGCTCTTCTCTCTCATCTCTTTTTCAACCATGCAATATTCCATGTGGATAAAACATCAAAGAATTTTTATACATCTCAGAAAGTCAATATATGTATATTTATTCTTGAACGTATATTAGCATTTTTTTTTTCTTTTTTAATAAGAAAAAAGAAATTGTTCTTTCTTCTTTCTTAATAATTGCATTTAAGAAAATTATTATTATTACTAGAGAAGAATTATTTTTTATTACATCTAGAGAAATTTTTTTTTTTGGCTTTTATTTGAGATAAAGGAAATTTATTTGAGGTTATGTGATTGTTGTGATTTTAGATATTCTTTGATGATTTTTTTTTTCTTTGTAAAAAGATTGAAGTAAAATTTTATAAAGAATTCAAAAATAGTATAAGGAATTGCTGATTTGTGGCAAAGTATTAATATTTTGTCAACAAAAAAATGTATTTTTAAAAGATTGGATGTTTGAGGAAAATTCAAAATGGCGGCGCAATCAAACAACAATCACATGACCTTAAATCAAATAAAAATATATATTTGTCTCAGAGGCTGCTAACTTTTTATTTGATTTGAATAACAAATTTTATTTAGTACAAATAAAATTTTATTTAGTGTAAATAACATTTTTATTTAAAACAAATAAAATTTATTGGAAACAAATAAAAACTTATTTGTCTCTGAGAAAAATATATACCGTATCTATATAGGTGTGAAAAATAATTTTAATTTTTAACAATATTGTAAAATAAATATAATATAATATAATATAATATAATATAATATAATATAATATTGCATGGCGAGCTTAAGGCAATATTAAACGATAAGCTTTAAAATATTGATTAGCAAACTTGAGCCAATATTCATGATTTAGCTTTAGATATACGTAATATTACTTTGTAAACTTGAGTCAATATTGAATGTCAAGCATGTGTTAATTCTGCTTTGTAAACTTGAGTCAATATTGAATTTCAAGCTTAAAACAATATTAATTAGCAAGCTTGCGAGTCAATATTGAATGTCTTATGCTCGCAACAAAGTAATTATTCAGATTGAGTCCACACTAAAAAAAAAAATTTGTTTCAAATACTCTGTTACTTTTGATTATATATTATCAAATAAATATTTATTTGATCCAAATAAATTTTTACTTGAACCAAATATTGTTTATTTGCCTTAAATAAATTGCATTTGAACCAATAATTTCTGTATTTAAAACAAATAACAATTTAATTGACTCAAATATATAATTATTATTTGATAAAATTAAATATTTATTTGATAATATTAGAGTCAAGTAACCGATTATATTTAAATCAAATAAATTTTATTTTAATATTTTATTAAAAATTTAATTTAAAATTTACTAAAACTTTAGCATAGAGGAAAAAAATTGCTAAATCAAATAATATTTTTACTAAAAATTATTAAAAATTTCTAACAAATAATAATTATAATAATAAATTAATCATTATTACCCAATCTGATTTAGTATAATTTCTGTTTATTTTGCAAAAAGTTTCACGTGAAAAATTACTAGAAATTATTAGAAATATTCATTAATTTAAAATTAGTGAACAAATTCTCATTAATTAAAATTTTAAAGATTGAAATAAATAATTTTAATTTAATTTAAATTATTTTTACTCAATGTAAAAACAACAATTATTATTTTATTTTAATTAATTTATTAATCATTTATTTTTTTATTTATGATTAATAAATGAATAATGTAGATAAATATTTAAATAAATTAATTTTTTAGAGAATCAAATTTTTTGTTTTGATTTTCATTGAAATGTTTCATTCAAATGTTTTATATTATATTTCATTTATTTAGAAAAGAAAGTAAATTTCTTTTAAAAAACAGATTTTTCTTTATTAATGCGCAACTTATCCTTCTTCCTACGCTATATACAAGAATTTCCTTCAGTTTGATAAAAAAATATAATATACCCTAAAAGAACATATAAAACCCTTTGAAAATTTTGTAATGATGGATTAAAAAATAAAAAGTGCACACTTGTTTTCAAAAATTATAAATAAAAAAAAATATTTTTAAATTAAAAATAAATTCCACCAATTACTTTTGTGTTGGAATATATCAATGAAATTTAATCTTACATTCAGTATAAATTCTTCTTTTGAAATATAAGAATATCTTGTAAAGTAAAAAAAATTTTCTTCAAACACACATATATAGGTAGTCGTGTTTGATCAATGGCTGTGTTTATCAACTTTATAAGCCTTATAAATTTTATTTTCTCTTTTCAAATCCTCTTTCAATATATATATATATAAGAAACAAAACGCATGTTTTTAAAGAGGAAAAAGATTAACTATTTCTTTTATGCTATTCTTGCGCTTTTAAAACAAGAATGAAATCTTCTACTTTGAAGAGGATTATTTTTATTTTCACTTATGTAAAAGGCTGCATATAAAAAAGAATTTTCCTCTCAATATGAGATTATTTTTTTTTTTTGAGCATTTCTGAGTAATTTTTTTATAAAATTGAGATTTGCTTTTTTCGTATGCGATAAAAGATACTTTTTATATACATATAGTATATATTCCACATACATGAATGAAAATAAATAAGAAAAATGTGTTAAATTATAGGGTTGCATGAGTCCTAAATGTTGAGAATCGATAAAAATAAGGCGGGGTTTAAGTCAGTGTCTGTCACTGACATAAATCAGTAAATGTTAGATGCTATCTTGATAATTTGATACCTTTATTTTATTAATGTAATTTGTCTGATTAGAATGCTTTCTTGTTTATTTCATTTTTATAATTGTGACAAATTTATATGCGGTTTCAATTATGTTATAGTATAACAGAAAGTTTTACTAATTAAATCCCTACAATGAATAAAAAATTTATTTAATTCAAATTAATCCTTTACTCGATTATTATTATTATTATTAAATAAATATTTATTTTGTATCAAATAATAATTATTATTAAATCAAATTTATTTCAAATATAGAAATTATTTGTTTAAATAAAATTTATTTAATTCAAATAAAAATTATTTTGTTCAAGCAAATATTATAATATTTATTTAATTCAAGTAAAATTTTTGATTTATTTTAATTTTTCGAACGATAAAAGAAAACAAACTAAATAAACTTTTTATTAATTTTTATAAAAAAATTTATTTTTATAATTGAAGAATATTTTTAATTTTTTACGTGCAATAAATTATATTTTTAGTTTTTTTTTATTACCATAAATTGGGAATAAAAACATTAGAAATGTTTGCTAGAAAATGTATATATATATATATGATTCTGCAAAATACTCCCTTGAAAATGAGAGCAAAATCATTAAAATTTATTGATTCATGTAAATTTATGAAATTATTTAAAGAGATTGCTCTAAAGGTAATAAAATTGAACTCTTTTTTTTCTGAAAAACAGTGCAATTATTAAATATATAAATATTACTGATTAAATTACATAACAACTTTGTTAAAAAATTTTTCAAAATAAAATATTAAAGTTTAAATACATAGGTATTTAATTAGAAAATATATTTTTTTTATTTAAAATTTTATTATTTTTTATAATAATTATTATATCAATAATTTTAATGTATAATATATTAGTGTAATAAATATTAATAAAGGAATAATAAATATTTTACAATTATAATATAATTAAATAAGCACAGAATTAAATTGAAAAAAATGGATTCGATTCAAAGAATCGGTATTATTTGACTACAATTTTTTTTTAACCAGATAATTTCTATTTGAATAATTTCAGTTTCAGTTATTAGTCTATATAGAGTCATTGAATTTATTTAAATTTTTATATTAATTTTTTGATTATTTAAAAATTACAATTTATTATAAAATACTTTTTGATTTATCAGTAAGTAAAATTTAAAATTCTAAGAAATGAATTTTCAATTTTTCGTCTTAAAGTTTTGTTTTAGAAATAAAAAATAAAGAAAAATATAATAACAATAATAATAATAATAAATTAAAATCTAATAAAAAATGAAAAATATATTCTTTTTGATAGTAAAAAAAAAAATTGAAAATCTTAAAAAAAATTCTCATTCAGTTTTTTTTTATCGATTAGAATTATTATTGTTTCTACTGTTGAAGTTCAGGCCATTATCACGTGGCGCCACTAGACGAATATTTGAATTTAGTCATCTATTGAAATTCGTTGGAACTAAAACGAAATATGGTAAAAGTTGTTTCCTAACTTTAGCAATAGATGTCGACTCTATATTCTTCCAAGAGAGGTGAATATGACTTTATCAAATGTCCACTATCCAGATTACAATTTTACCATAAAAGGCATTGAATTTACTACGATAAAAGTCAGTTCTGTCACAAAAATCCGTCATTGTGTGTAAAATAGCGAAACATTAAATTAACACTGTCAATTTAAGTGTTATTAAAATTCATTCTTAATAAGTGGAGTTAAATTTTTTTTAAAAATTTTTTAGACTTTCAAATTTATAAATTATTATTATTTGAAATTATTTAGAAATTTTTAGTTTCAAATTCACGGATTATTTACTTAATTTTTTTTTTTTTGAAGGTTAAGTTCTTGAAAGAAAGAAAAAAAACTAGTGAAAATGGAACACTATATTGTAATGGGTATTTGCATTTTTGTGTTGGTAATCACTGTTTTCGCGCTAAAACTATTTTGCCGGACAAAGATGAAAAATGTGTTAAACAAGCACGTTGTGGTAATTAATATTTTATTCATTCATTTATTATGGTATATTTATATTATAAAATTAAAATTTTGATTGATTATTACAAATTAATTTTTAATAATTTTTCAATTAATTTTTAATATCAATCTCAGTGTATGGTATATTTTATTTTAAAAATATATTTTATAATTTTTTAAACTTTTTATCATTTGAATATTTAATGTGAGTTTAAATTAATTTATAATTTAATATTTGTTTTTTATATTTAATTTTTAATTATATATAGCAAAATTTCCAAAGAATAATAAAATTATTATTTAATTATAGTCACGTTTTTTTATCATTATTATATATGAACAAGAATAATACGAACAAGAATAATATTAACATTAGTAATAATAATGATGATAATAATAATAATAATAATAAAAATAATACTTAATAATAATTATAAAGATAATTACAATGCTAATAATAAATAGGTCATTTAAATAAATTTTAATTAAAATCAGCTTTCACAATTTAATAATAAAATTATTTAATAATATGGAATGAAAAATTTTGTAATTCTGATATTTAAAGATTGAATTATATAATTAGTCATTTCACGGTGTGTAATTTTATATTTGCAAAAAAAAAATAAGTTGAGGTTGAATATTAGAGTTAAACAAAAGAAAATCGTTAAATCATTATGACGTTATTATAATGATTCATTAAAAATTTAATTGTGGTAAATAATTTTTTTTTTTTCGTATAAGGCTTTGTTTGATACCTACTTTTTTTTTTATTTGTAATAAGATACAAAATCGGTCAGAATGTTAAATTAAATATAAAATTGATAAAAAAAAAAATATTGATCTTGATTTCAACAAAATTCATTTGTTTCACTTATAATCAAATATTAAGAAAACATTTTTGAGAAAAGATTTTTAATCTACATTTTATTTAAATTTTGTTACAATTTTTTTCTAACTATTATAATTATTAATTAAAATATATAGATGTAAAGTTTTTTAAATTTCTAATTATGATTTATATTATAATTTATAATTATTAATAATATTATGATTAAAGGAATTATGCTGTAATATATTTCTAAAATACAAAATGAAAAAAATTTATTATTAAAATATTGAAAAATATTTTTTAAAAATTGAATGAATTAATCAACTCTTTCGTATTTTCTTTTTTTTTAATTTTCTCTAAATATAAAATATTTTTAATTATAAAAATCCTCAGATTTTTAAATTCTTCCGATATTTAAACATTAATGTGAAGAATAATTAATTATAAATTGATTAAATAAATAATTGAAGAAAATTAAAAAAAATTTAATCCTTGGAGAATATTTGTGTACGTTCGCATGAAAAGGAACCACTTTAGTTTCTTTCATAAGAGCGATATTTGCATTAATGTTCACGCAAAAATAATCCTTATTGTAATCGCCAAAGTGGTCCCTTTTCATGCACATTTAATTTATTATATACTATAAATAAACACTCACTTAAAGTTTTTTGGTGCCGAAGCTAATTTTAAAAATAAAGTTTAAAATATTTTTTATTTTTCTTTTCATGCTAATTGTAGGTATGTAATTTTTTTAAAGTTATGAAAGTTTATCTCGATTCGCACTATTATGAGTTAACTTCAAATTTTTGAAAAAAAATTACATGTCCCAAAAAGAGAAATACAATTTTAAGATTGATTACATTTAAATCTTGTTTCGATACTTTAAGTGAGTGTTTATTTAGTAATAACATAAATAGCAAATTTTTTAGACTTTCTTTTAAACGTTATTAACATATTTAAGAAGCGGAAAAATCAACAAAGTACTATGTTTCAAATAAACAATTTTTTTATTTATAGAGTTACATTTAAAAAATGTCAAAGAAATTCTAAAAGTTTATGGCAAAATTTTTTTTTTTTATTTATATTCATAGTTTTAATTAATTATTTTTAATTTCACTCTTCAATAATTAATTGACAAATATTTCAAAACTAGGCCACTTGACAGGTGAACTTTGAAGATATACTTCGAATTTATTATTTTATGTAGGTATTTAAACAGTATTTTCATTAACTGAATTTGAATTTAACAGAATTTTTATGTAACGAAATTCTCATTTAACAATTTAACAAAAATAATTTAATTAAAAAACTTTTTTATTTCACCTACACGGAAAGAAAAAAATTCAGGAAAATTTACGGAACTCAGTTGAGTAACTCTGGATATCGCGACCATTTCAAGATATTTTCAAACTTATCTGTTTAAATAAGTAATTAAATATTTTGGATACTCTCTAAATTTGAATTAGCGACTATTCGCTTATTCGTAGCTGCATACTCTGGGCTGATTAAAATAGCGACTATTCGCTAGTAATTTAGCGAATTTTCAATGAGTGATTATTGACTTATTCCCAGCTGCATACTGTGCGCTAGAAATAATCGAATAGTCACTAATTCGAAGCGAATAGTCGCTAATTCAGATTTAGAGAGTATATAGTCTAAAATATTTTCTCATTTTCTGTTAAAATAAACATTAATAATTCAAGAAGAAATCAAATTAGAATTTGCTTTGTCCATTTCAGAAATGTTAAAGAAACCTCTTTACTTATTGACGAGTTACTACATGAATTTCTCCTAAAGCGTCATATGAAAAATTACAGAACTATTTCTGAAAATTCTTAGCTAAGAAAGATAAAAAAAATTGCAATGGTTGCGATGCGCAATGGTTAACTGCGTATCAGAGTCAATTTCGAGTTCTGTAATTTCTCAGGTTCAAATCCTGAAGTCTTTCATAGCGAGCAAAATGAAAAGTTATAAATGTAAATAGAAATATTCATTCCAACTTTTATAAGATCTTGCGAAATTTTCAGAAGAAACTACTTTTATTTGGAGAAAGTAGGGGAATATACTCAGGGTTAAACACCGTTTTGAACTTTGTTTATAATCTTTTTTAAAAAAATAAAAGTCAATTGAGTTATATTGTTAGAAAGATGTACAACAGAGGAACACTTTTGCTAAAGATCGTAAATTGATTGGTCTAAAATTAAAAAAGTTCTGATCATTTAAAAAAAAATCTAGTCAGGGTTGGACACTTTGTGAAAATCGAAGCGAATTATAAGTAAAAAAAATAACATTTATAGCGTTACTGAAAACGTTTTTTATGTTTATTTTTTCATTTTTACATTATTATTATTATTATTTATAATTGACAATTAATATTATTTATAAAGTTACTGAAAATGATTTTTAAGTTTATTTTTCGTTTTTAACGTTATTATTATTTTTCTAATATCTTTGGTAGAATATGTAGTGTGTGTTCGTCAATGTTTATTTGTATATTTATTTATAAATTGTGTCAAATTCATAATTAACAAAGTGTCCAACCCTGAGTGTATAAAATGTCCAACCCTATGTAGAAGTAACATTTTCGAATTGTGCTAACCATAACCAGACATGTTTCGCGATTCGATTTTTCACTTCATTTTTTCTTCAATCATGAACCCCACAATACGTGCAATAAACTTATCTTGCCGATTTCTTGTTTTCTTTATTCATTTTTTATGTTTAATCACATCGCTCACAAAATTTTTTTCGTTCTTACAAATGCACCGACGACACAGCAGACGCTACTTTTGATCCTCCAAAAATGTAATGGCACAAAAAGTTAGGTTTCACTATGAGAAGCTTCGCACGTCCGTGCATAGATGGCGCTAGTGTTCTTATTTTAATAAAAGCAAAGTGTCCAACCCTGAGTATATTTCCCTACTGAAAAAAAGATTAAGATTTAAGATTTAAGATTAAGATTTTCCTGAAATTTTTAGGACTTTCAACTGAACATTCATGAATATCTCTTAATTTTTCCCTCGTATCTAGAGTTATTATTATTATATTATTACATTATTTGGTACATGTTAAAATTTATTTCGTTCAAGTAAATATTTATTTGATAATAGCCAAGTAGTACTATTTGAATCAAACAAATTTGGTTTTCAGGTTATAAAATTAAGATTTTTATATCTTAAAAAAAAAATTTAATTTACAATTCTTTTTATATTGTATTCTAGAAACATTTACGTATACAGAAAATTTTTTATAAAGTAACATTTTTTTTTTAATTCAATCAGAAAGGACTGTCGTATAAAATGACTCAATGTTTGTAATTAAAGATAATTGTTGCAAATAAATATGTGACACTTGATATCATTGAATTTTTTTAAAATACATTCTCATATAATAATACAAAAAATTAATAGTTTTTTTTTTGTTGAAATATTATGTATGTCTTTTTTTTATAGGTAACTGGTGGTTCAAGTGGAATAGGAAAAAGCGTCGCTTTGATTGCTGCTAGAAGTGGAGCTCACGTGACCATCATAGCTCGAAACATTCAAAAATTGGAGTCTGCAAAAAACGAAATTGTTGAAGCTTGCAAAAATCCGGACATACAGAGAGTCGAATATTTGTCCCTCGACATCAGTAAAAACTACGACGAAGTAGAAAAATCATTGCTCGATCTTGAAAAGACCATGGGACCAATTTACATGCTGGCAAATTGTGCTGGCACAGCAATTCCTGGAAAAATCGAAGACACTACAGTTGAAAATTTGAAATTCATGTTTGATGTGAATTTTTTCGGTACATTTTATTGTACTAAAGCAATTGTACCGCTAATGAAAAGTAGAAAGGAAGGAATTATTGTTTTGACTGCCTCTCAAGCTGCCTGTTTGGGTAATGTAATTTTTACGCATGTATACAACAAAAGAAATTTTAATAATTATGATTATCATTGATTTGTTTTTATAGCACTTATGAAAATTTTAATTAATTTTATTAAAATTCCTTAAATTTAATTAAAAACTTAACTTATATAACTTCCATTATTAATATTACAAATAACTTCGCTGTTCATATAGGAATCTTTGGTTACTCTGGTTACTCCAGTTCGAAATTTGCCATTCGTGGATTAGCAGAATGCCTTTCTATGGAATTGTTCCCTTACAATGTGACTGTAACTGTAAGTTTACCACCTGATACCAATACCCCCGGATTTAAAGAAGAAGAAAAGACAAAGCCTTTAGAAACGAAATTAATTTCACAAGCTGCTGATTTGATGGAACCAGATGATGTTGCAAAAGTATTGTTTAAAGACGCTCTAGTAAGTTTATATTTTAATAAATTTGCTATTTTTTCTCATATATAAAAGTATATTCACAAATATATTAATTTTTTTGAAACTATAATAATAATAAAAAGAGGTTTTTTGTACACATATATAAATAATTGAAATAAATACTATAAACTTTGTTATAAAATGACAAAAAATTAGCACAAAGTAAAATTATATTAGTAATTGATATTAAAGTACAAAATGAATAATGAAATAATAACGTAAGAGAGCAGGAGTTATTTAAAATTATAATGAAAATTAAATATTTCTCTAATGATATAAAAAATTTTGAATGTTCGTTGACTCATATAGAGGTGTTTTGTTTGTTTTCTTTTAATGAATAATAATTTAAATCGTTCTTTGTGTATATATAAAGTCAATATAATTAATTAAAAAATATTCTTTCAGGCTGGAAAATTTTTCTCGATAATCGGCTTTGAGAGCTTTATAGTGGCGACCGTCTGCGCTGGAATGTCGCCTTTTTCATCATGGTGTGAAGTATTAATTCAATCAATATTGATGGGATTGTTGAGGATTGTGGGTGCTTTTTATTTAATTTCATTTCATAGAATAATCATAAGAGTTATGAAGAATCGCGACAAAAACAAAAGAGCTGAATAGAAATTCATTTTTTCTATAATAATAATAATAATAATAATAATAATAATAATATTTTCAAGTGTGATGACGCAATGAAGTATTTAAAAATTAAAAAAAAAATTTTAATTAAAATTCTTTTTAAATCAATAAAAATATTTTTATACTTATTCAATTATCTTTTTCTTAATTTTACCATATTCACCTGGATGTTCATTTCCTTCCTTTTTAATAAAGAATATTCTTCTTTATAAATATATTTCATTATTTTATTTATTAGACGAAATAGATGTTAACTCGTTTGACCTAGACAGGTGAAATTTAGTACATGAGGCATTTTATATGAGAATACGGAATCATGTCTCGGATTTTTCTCAAAATTCGGTAAATTGTAGTGATAGTGGTGCTAAATAAGTGTACAAATTTTGAATTTGAAATTTTTAATATTTTTCGAGATATTTACAATAACAAATTAGAGCAATATTTTTTTGCTTTACTTATAACTTTTTCCCTATTAAAAATAGAGAAAAATGTTAAGAATGTTTTTTACGCAAAAGATCTTAAACTTTTAGAAACAAAATATTTTTTTAAAAAAATATTAATTTTTAAACAATTTGTTTAAAAAATAAAATTTGTTTATAACTTTTAAACATGTTCTCCCTCATTTAGAAGCGCGAAAAAAATCATGAATATTGTTTAAGTCATAATAAATTGATGGTTAAATTTTTGAGATGGCATTATTTTTTGTTTTCGAGATATTAATTAATTAACTAACAAAAGTTAATAAAAAATGAAATATTTTACGAACAAATAAAATTAGAGTAATTTTAAAAACACAATTAGACACAGAAAAAAAAATTAGTAATATTTACCCAGAATTTGAGGTAAAGTTTACTTGCAACAAAAATTACTTTTCCCTTGTTTCATGTGTAATTGTAAAGATTTACTCTTACTTCATGAGTAATAAATGTTCGTCACATGACACATTTGTATATTAAAATCTAGTCTATCAGACATTAAAAAAAAAATCTATTAAGAAATAAATAAAGCATTATATTGATAACGTCGGTAACATAAAAGAGAGCATGATATTTTGCAAGTTAAAAAAGTTAATTTGAATAATCGTAATGGTACTGCAGTTTTGACAGATAAGATATCGATTACGGTATGCTATCGATTTTTGAATATCGATTATGGTAAGCTATCGACTTATGATCATGCGCTGTCAGTTAGTCTGTCAGGAAAGACAACTTATCCAAATTATGTGTTTGTTTCTTTAAATTTGCCAATTTTTTAAAAAGGTAAGTAATAATAATATAATATTATATTGTCAAAGTATTATTATTTCTTTTATAAAAATTATATTTATTGAATTTGAATTTCGTCTACTTTATACGACCAATCACAGTTAAAAAACAGGAAAGATTCCTGAATTTATTTCATCAACCAATCAGAAAGCAGTTCACATATCACGACTTGGAATAAATGACTTGATGTTTATATCTTTTAGGTTGGCAACGAATCTCAAAGAGAATAAACAACGCCATTAGATTCATTCCGTTTCGTGTCATAAAGGTACAATTGAGCGTACAATTGACGTTGTTTGTACCGAGCGTTCATTGGATGAGTTTTTCTAACCTGCGCATAATTTATTATTAATAATAATTTATTTCATCCGGATACTGTCTGATACTTTTAAAAGTACTGCTAGTATAATAGACGGACAAAAATGTTTATCCATCTGGACGGACGACTAGACACTTCGTTTATAATTACAGGTAAAATTCTGAATTTAATTTTTTTAAGATCTCTCAAAATATTTATTTTAACTCTTTTAAATTTCATTACTTAGACCTTAATTGCATTATATTTTCGATTTCTTTTAATAAAATATGACTTTAATTTAACTTTTTTTAAGACAAGTTATAATGAAATACCATTTTTTTAGAGTGTTATGTTTGTTGACAATTTTAACCTCATTGTACTTAATTTTTAATTATCTTAAAAGAAAATTTCTTATTGTTGAATATCTTCGATGTAAATTAAGAACCTTTAACTTTCATTATTTTGATAAAAAGTGACACATACAAATTGAAAAAAGGAAAGAATAAATTATTTATTAACAACAAATATTTAAAACAAACAAAACAATTTAAATATTTATATTCACCTCCTATAAATTTTGTTACAAAATAAAATTTAAAAAAATTTGTTCAAAATAGCTAATCGAAAAATAACAATCATTTTATTTTGTATTTTATTTTGTAAAAAATAATGTTTATTGCGAAAAATATTGTGCAGTTTTAATATGAACTTATACTGAGAAAAATTATTTCTTGACATTGATTTACAAATAACAAACAACAAATTAACAGCCAAATAATAATTAAGACTAATAATTGGGTGCCTTAAAACTAGAAAGTTATATTTCCGATTTTTTCAGTAATTAGATTTTAATTCATATAATTTTATTTCAGTCAAATGAAGCATGTGGTAGAGAAGACAAAAGTTTCAATATAAAAGTGCCAATGTAAAAATCCAAAATGTTTAATTTTTCCACAGGACTTACTTCAAAAAATTTTTTTTCGGTGAGCATTTTTTTAAAAGAATACTTTCAAAAAAATTTTTTTATTTTTTCATTATACCTGTAAATTCTAAAAAGTTTCAATTTTCATATAATTACAGAATTGTTTAATAAGAAAAATTTTAAATACAATAATTTAATCACTTTTTAGTATTAAATCAAGCAATTTCTGTTTTTAATAAGCTTCGATAGATAAAATATTTCATTATTATGAAAATAAATGTAACAATTAATACAATAACAAAAAATATGAAAATTTCGTATCTGTATGGAAATAAATAGAAAAAACTTGTAAATTTTTGAAATATTGCAAATGAAAACTATCCTAAATTTTAAATTAAATCAATATATTATTTGTCTTAACAATGTAAACAAAAAACAATGCATTATATCCAAAATAAGAAATTAGAGACACTCTGTTTAATTTTGAATTTTTTCTTTAAAATTTTGTCTTGGATTTTTTCTTTTGGCACTTTTGTATCCCAATCCAAAAATGTTGACATTTCAGTAACGTTTCATCTCTTTTCATGCATATTTTTTTTTAATTGCCTGTTTATTTATCTGTGTCATACTATTTGTTTCTCCTATTATTAAGTATTTCTTATCTCATTCCTTCTTAATCTCCTATATCTCTATCTATTTGTCTCTGTTTTTGTTTTAGGGTCATTTTTTATTCGATATCTATTCAGATAAAATGTGCTATACTCTTTTTATTGATAACATATTTTTATTTCAGCTGAAATATTTAAATCACACAATTGCACAATATCATGGAACCAGATATGCCAGGGGATAATATTGGATGCAAGCAGTTCCAAATATAATTAAAGCAATGAAGGTTCAAGTTCCTGCCGATGGTACCAATAACGGCACTTGTGTTCTTTTAATTCTAAATTTGCCGAAATTATTTTTAAAGGCGAAAAAGACTGGAAGAATTTATCGCGCTTATCCGGTATATTATTCTTTTCTTTAACTCCTTGTATTAACTCTAAGGCTTTAGAGTTTTTTAAATTTTGATTTTCATAATATTTATATAAAATTCGCAAGTAATTAATGATCTTTTTTTAAAATAGCACAATAAAAATATAATATGATGATATTGTTAATAAAACAATTTCTTTTTTAGAGAGGTTCAACCTTCGCTGAACTCATTCCGAATCATCATGAATCTCCTTCTCTCTTGCCAATTGCAGATTCTAATACATCTTTTGATTCTCTCGAACTAATGTTCCACGTGGACGGCGACACATTATTCAAGGCACTTGCTTTTGATGCTGTTCTGTATCTGATTTCAGCCTATTGGGTTTTCAATATTTCTTTCCCTTCTAACGCAAAATTGCAATATTCATTCATTTCTATTGCAATTTTTCGTCAAGCAGGAATAAAACAAATGAAAAACAATGTGTTAAAATCAATTGTATTACATAATGCTTTAAAAGAGTTTCTCATCTCTTATCAAAGTGATTTTCCTTTTTGCTGATATTTGTGTCAAGTTTCTTTTTTTATTTCTTAGCTCACATCGGAGTAGTTTTTTTATTTCTTGATCTTTTTGTTCAGTTTATTTTCTTATTGCTCAGCTCATTTCTCATTTGTTGATCTTTGTGTTTAGTTTATTTTTTAATTTTATTATAAATCATTTGATTATAAATAAATAATATTTTCAAAAATTAAAAAATGTTTTTCTTCGGAATTTGAGATATTAGTATTCGTATCTAACTTCGACGTCTCTCGTTCATAAGATCGTATAATAAAAAATAATAAAAAATTAAAATAGAAAAATAAATGAAGAAAATAATAAATAGAAAGTATAATAAAAAATTTATAGATATTATTTTTTATTTATGCTTTAATTATTTTTTATATGTATTTTTATTATATTAATTTTATTAATCATTAATTAATTTTTAAGAAGTTTAAAAAAACAACATTGGTTTTTAGCACAAACGAAATTATACTTTTTTTACCTAGATTAAAAGTTAATTCAAGATACAATTATATTTATTTATTATTTATTTAAATTTTTTTACGAATTTTTTGAACTGAGCTATGAGTCTATTACCAGTTTTAGATCCATTCCTTATAAATAGCAAATAATAATACAATTAATAAATAATAAAAAATAAATAAAAATAATAAATAAATAAGAAGTATTTTTATTTACACGTTGCTAATACAAAGTTTTGTTTCATTTAAATTTGTATTTACAACTTATTATTTACTTTTTATCTTATTTATGTTTGAAGTGGAAATTTAAAAAATTAAATTGAATTTTAAATACGTTTTAATACACTTGTTACTTTTTTAAATAACAAAGGATTGTTTGACTATATTTCATGAAAAGAACATTTAAAATAAGCGCGCTCCAAGTGCGCATGCGTATTTGCATTTGACAAAATGCGAAGGCAGCCGAAGTGTGCTCGTGCTATTACGAATCATTTTACAATTTTCTGTGAGTAAAATGAAGAAATTACTTGCAACAAACTTTACTCTTCTTTTTTTTCTGTGGAATGCTTATCAAAATCCGCATCCAACGAGCCCTAGATGAACTATTTCTAATAAACGAGTGTTAAATTAATAGTAATTAATAAAATTAATTAATTAATTAATTGACGATTTATCTTCATTTCTTCAAATGTTATTAATTATTTAAATAAATTTTATTAATTATAATTAATTTAACACTCGTTTATTAGAAATAGTTCATATAGGGCTCGTTGGTTGCGGATTTTGATAAGCATTCTAATGGTGTTTTTAAAATTACTCTAATTTTATTTGTTCGTAAAATATTTCATTTTTTATTAACTTTTGTTAGTTAATTAATTAATATCTCGAAAACAAAAAATAATGCCATCTCAAAAATTTAACCATCAATTTATTATGACTTAAACAATATTCATGATTTTTTTCGCGTTTCTAAATGAAGGAGAACATGGTTAAAAGTTATAAACAAATTTTATTTTTTAAACAGATTGTTTAAAAATTAATATTTTTTTAAAAAAATAATTTTTTTCTAAAAGTTTAAGATCTTTTGCGTAAAAAACTTTGGTAACAGTTTTCTCTATTTTTAGTAGAGAAAAAGTTATAAGTGAAGCAAAAAAATATTGCTCTAATTTGTTATTGTAAATATCTCGAAAAATATTAAAAATCTCAAATTCGAAATTTGTACACTTAATTAGCACCACTATCACTACAATTTATCGAATTTTAAGAAAAATCCGAGACATGATTCCGCATTCTCATATGAAATGCCTCAAATATTTACATTTTGTTAGGATAAAATTTTATGTAACCGACAAATACAAGTTTTTAATAATCTATTATACACTCCTTTATTGTTGAGAATTTTTAACGAAGCTGAAATTTTTAAAACTTGGGTATTTTTACAAAAAGATTAAAAAAAATTTATTTAGCACAAATAAAAATTTTATTTAACTCAAATAAATATTTACTTGCCTCTGAGACAAATATATCTTTTCTCTGGGTATAATAATAAAAAAATAATAATAATAGAAAAAATAATAGAATACATAATACTAATAATTTATGATTAACATTTAGCTGTAAGGCAGCATCAAAAAAATCTTTAAAACAAATGAAAACTGAGATTATTATAAAGGTTGACACAATAAACTTTCTGTTTGCAGTATTATATGATTCATTCACGTGACATTTATTCTTTTTTCGCATTTTTTTTCTCTCCTCTCGTTTATTCATTCATTCATTCTTTTCATACGTTTGTCTTTTTTTTCATTCTCATATATAAACTGTTTTGGCATCTCTCCATGGATTTGAAGTCCCTTTTTTTGTACCATCATACATTTTTTTGTGATTCCACTTGAGTGCGAAAACTTGAGTAATTTTTGCGTAATTTAAAACGTTTTTCTAAATTCATTATACAAAAGGTGGAATGAAATTGAATCGTTTTTGTGCAAATTAGAATATTTCATGTTTTACTACATTTGAATGTTCATTCTTTTTTCTGGTGTTTTTTTTCTTTTCTTTTGGTCGAAATTATTTTTATTCATTAATATAGTTGTTTAATTTAATTTCATAAATTATTAATAATTGTATTTAATTAATAATTATTAAATATTACACAATTCAACATGAAATTTGCGCCTGACATTTAAGGTGTTTTGTTTGCTAGATTTATCGACTGATATAACGAAAAAAATTATATTTTATCAAAAATTTTGCTTCTGTAGAGAGGAGAACGCTTTTAACGTATTTTTGAAAATTTATGATTTTAAGCAATTTCTTCTAAAAAAATAAAACTATTTCTTTTTGTATGATTTATATTCGCAATAATTATAATATTGTCTTACAAAACAATGGGAAAAAGTTTAAAAGTGAACTCTGTTACTGTTTGTGTTATGTTATTGAAAACACAGATAAATATTTCTTGACATGCGTGCGTTGGTGGTATCTATGCGAAACTTTCGCCACCTATGGGGATGTATGAGTACTTGTCATGAACTTCCGACAAATCTTGGCACCACTTTAGTGAAGTACATGCATGGGAGATTGTAGTCTATTCTCCATGAGCATCATGTTTACACTCTCTTGATGACATTTTAAGCGATTTAACCTCCTTGACAGACTTGTACACAATAATATGCGTTGTCTGCGACTCGAGAGCCATCTGTAGGTACCGTGTGAATGTAAAAATACTTTTCCTTTTCCCGCGCATAGTTTAAAATTTTTAATATATTAAATCGACTTATTTTAACTATAAAGATTTAAAAATCTAGTTTTATTAGTATAACTACTGCAAAGGCAAACGAGACGCTTGCTTTTCACTGAACTAACAGTACGTCCAACAGACAAAATATCGAAAAGCCAAAACGTCGAACTGACTAAGAAAAATAAAATTTTTTTGGCATCTTTTTTATGGTTTTGGATTTATGGGTTGGATGACTTTTTGGTGGTAATAGGTGTCTTCCTCTACTCGTATTTGGCTGTCAATTTTT